GGCAAGTTGGATCTCCCACGGAAATTCAGAACACCTTTTCCCGCCATTCCCGAAAAAAGGAGGTGGACGATGCTTGACCGAAAGGGTGATGGCTACTCGTCATCATTGTTAACGCTATATTCTGCCTCTGCCAAGCGTTTGGAGTCTGCGGCTAGAGTTTGACCGCGAGGGTCTGCTGGTCGGTGGTTGTGTCGTGTTGCAAGCGTCGACACGGTCCTCCTAGGCCGTTAGGGGCATACCCTTCGCTGCAACACGCTCATTGTTAGTCCCGCAATCGTGAGGGGCTCACCTGCCTCCACGAGGTATATTTCACCTCTCTTCGACCTCCACTCCGGTCATTTCCGTTTGCGTGATGAACGTGGAAATAGTGCAACTGTGAGCACTCGTTTTTTTCTCAAATGCTTTCATAGAAATGAAGAAGCGTGGCGCTGGTGAACCAATTTCGTCGTTAAGTCAATTTCATGCGGCTTTGGCTGTGAACGTCCACGTTTCCACGCCTTTCCTGAAAGACAAGAAGGGAAATCCTCTGTGTGCTTTTGAGTATTGCAGCCACTTCACTACTTCGACTTTGCCATTCCAGCTTTCGGAATTGAATCCGCGACTGTTGTTTGTGGTCGAGATCGATGGCATAACGTGGAAATTGAGCGTGCGGTTAAGATCTTACGCATGCTTCTTCTACTGCCGCTTGATAAATTGGCTACATTTTATTTCTACGAATCCTAGAAGCGTCCTGAAGCCGATTAACCTTTCTGGCTAGAAACTTTAATTGTCCAAGAGGCAGAAACTGCTCTTCGTTCTAGTAGGTTGACGGTAGACGACACTGGGGGGAATAGTTTATTCCACCGAAGAGATCACTCTTATATAGTGGGGTTGTTTGTCTTGTTTCCATCCTCGTGATCTTCTCCATATCCATATTCCATATTTCCTCCTCCTTCTTCTCCACCGGTCTCCATCCATCAACCTAAACCATCCTCGTTCCCCTACACCTTTCTTAGATAGAAAGGCATCAATGCATTAACCTCACATTCACCTTTCCTTTTCCCATTATAATTTCTCAGTGTTCGTTTGGCTCAGTGGCACTCGATTTCCATTTGGTATTATTATGTTCTACTATTTATATACTGACGCGTTTGATGCTTGCAAGGCGCTCGTATAACTTCGTATACTAATCGTTTTTTTCCACACACTTATTCAGACCCTGGATACGAATTTTATGAATTCATTAATAATATTTCGTATAATAATTAACAAGAGTGTCGAACATATCCCGTGGCTCGTCAAAAGGATCAGTGGCAAGTGCATCGTCCTTTCTTCCTATAATTTCCTTTTGGCGTAGCAGAACCTAACATCTGTGTACTTAATGGAGTTCAAGATTAGTACGTTACTTGCCATGTGGCCTTTAAATAAATATCTCGTTCGGACCGTCCTTATACGCGACGAGTGAAGTGCACCTTTTCAGTTCGAGCGTAACACTGGGAGGTTTTTTCGCGAACGGTCCTCTGCGCATATTATCTTCCTTCCAAGCGCTCCTTTTTCACTCCTTTCATTTTGCCCTTTCAAGACCCTCTTCTTCCAGTAATCAGTAATTCTCCTGCCTCCAATACGCGCATTTCGTGACTTTTCTCCGCTCTTCTGTTCAAATGTTCGTTAAGATCGTGACAGTAAGCCAGTGGTTTTTTGTGCGAGAATACAAAAAAGTCTGATTTCTGCGGTTTTCCTCATAGCTTAACTTCTTTGTGTGTCTTCAAGTGCTCGACATCAAATATATTTGGGCAGGTTGATAAAAAAAGGATGTCTACTGTCTAATCAGACTTTGAAGAAAAAAGGACAAGCAGTGAAATCGCAGTCATCAGTCTTTAGGAAATTTTCGGGGTTCCTTTTCCTTTTTTCTAGAGTTTTTGTAACGTCAGTTCCGCTTGGACGAGTTACGCATCCGGTTTTTTAGAAACCGCCGAATGGCTGGCTGTGGTCAAATTCTTCTCTGAAACTTGCCTTCAACCATCGCTGTATTCTACAATCAACAGTATTGACGCTATATGTATATATCTACCGACGTTTCCACGATTCCAATGAAGTTTGAGTGCACGGTGCATTTCAAGCATTTGCTTGGCACCGAGTTCCCTATTTTTAACTTGTTTACCCTAAGCGCACATCATGGAATATGACTCGAATTTAAGCCGATGATTAGCATATTGTGGCGATGAGTGACTAATTAGGTGCTCGGCGGTAGCAGCAGCGATGGGCGGGCGGCCACATTTGCTAATCGGCGCCCATGTGTTCGCTCCGGAAGCATATGGAACGCTTTTCTCATGTTTTTAATCGGCTGCATGGCGGAGGCAGCCGCTTTCAAGTTCTTTTGAGCGCGGAATATATTCTAAATGTGTTTCATATTATATGTAGCTTGAAAACAATTTTGCCAAGTTAACTTGCTTCCTAAAAGTTTAGTATCTGAATTCCTTCAACTGGAGTTAAAAGTGGAAAGCATTAGCAGTGAAGCGCCTGATAGGTAAAATAATCGATAAATCAATACTGACGGGAGCTGCGCATTGAAGATTTCATGCAATAGATTTCATATGCTCGTCATATATTTAGCACAAGGACGCGCGACGGAATTGCTTGAAACCAGGTTATGACGCCCTGTTGTTTCTGTTCTTACGGCGGCTCAGAAGTGGTCAGTGGTAAAGTACTGATTCTTGAAAAAGGCTTGTTTACTGCGATCCATTGCATGAGTCTATCTTCACGATTCTTCTATTACCAGAGGTTCAAGCTCCAAAGATCGGGTCAAACTTTGATCATGCGATTTTGCTTCTTTCGTGCAGTAGATACGTATCGATCGCATGATATCATTTGATTGTGCGATCGGTGCTATCTACTCCATACTCTAACTGCGAATCGAACTGCAAAGGTATGAACCCATTTTAAGATTGTTATGTTGGTTTGTCTGTATGGATTACGTATTATACCACCCCGTACAGTAAAAAATTCTCGGAATTATTTGTTTTGTGGAGAATTGGTCAACCTTTCTCTCTGTTCATTTATCTGGCGAAAAGTTGGTGATACATATAGTTTTGTCTGAGTACTGTCGTGAGTGTTTTTTCTGCAGTAGCATTTTTTGAAGGTTTCATTGTATCTGTGAGTTCCAGTTGCCGACTATCCACCATGTCCTGATGGATAATCTATAAATAAAAAGGCCTTGCTTCCTCGTAAACCGGATCTCAGTTGCGTTGGAAGGCCTCGAATTATTGTTCAGTATTTTCTACTTTTAATGAAAAAATGCTTCACAGGCAAGCATCGCTCTGCTTTCCAATCCATTATTTGGTTTCCATGCATTTGCATATAAAAAGAATGCCAAGCACAACCATATTCAAAATTGTAGGTAAACTGTGAGACCTTTTGTAATCACATCAGATTTTTGAAGTCTATTTTTTTAAAGAAATTCCCATCTAGTTCATAGTAACCCATTGACGACAGCACGACGCGTGTGCTGTTCACGTTTTCGCATCGACAAATAATTGTTCGTATTTTATGGGATTTTCCATGATTAAAATGTTATTTATACTTTGTCCTGTTCAGAGAACTATATAATCCTTTCCATGAAATTATTAACCGACATCAGACTGCTAATGAGGAAAAAATGTAAAAAGCTGCCAAGAACTCCCATAACCGCTGCTGTCAATGTCAATGGGGAAAGATCTGCAGCATTATGAAACACTCATCGTCAGATGAAGCTAGAATCATTCTTCACTGTATGAAACCATTCAAATGAAGAAAAATCTTTCCTCTCTTATGATAAATTCTTTAGGGCCTCTATTTACAAGATTAGCATTTCTAGTTCATCATTAGGTCGTCGTGAAACCTTTGAATTTTCCAGAACAAGTTTGATAGAGGTAGTTCTACTTTTTTCTTTTTATTCGTATTTTCATTTTGGTCTTTTCTTCTTCTTTTGTCACTCTTGCCAAACGAATTATGTTTATGTTGGCAAGCTGATTTGCAGTAAATGAATTTAGACCACTTTGGCTGTTGAATTCGCTCTCGTGGACGTTCCTTAGAGAATGCGACGTCAACGATAGACAGCTGGCAGTCAGCTTCATTTCGTTGGAAAAAAAATCATTTCAATGGACGTATAACGACAGCTTTGTCACGCCCAATCTAGTCTTTATTCAGTGGGCGTCAGTTGCATGTTCGCTAGAGAATCTCTTAGTGGAGTTTCAAGAACAAGGTTGGGCGTTCCTATTTTTCAGTGCTCGTTTATACATATCTTGTCTCCTGAAAGGGAGGTGAATCTGGAGCCATACCCTATTTTCATGACAGGCTAGGGAAGCAAAATAAAATTTCCAGCGTCTTTCCATCCAAGGTTACTAATAAGAAAGAGTCTATTTTAATATATTATGTAAGATATGGATATAAGTAGAGGTATGTGATGGAAGTAAAAGAACATTATCGCCTGAAAACAATTTAGGGCTTTCTTTAACAACTTCTTTTATTGCCTCAATGCTTCAATATCTTTCGGCGCATTTATTTTATTGTATACACGCAAGCTCCACTATACCCTTCCGCACGGCTTTTTATTAAAACCAATCAGACCCAAATGGGCTTTCCCTCTCACCCGGAAGTGAACGAATGAATACGGCTCTTGCATTCACTTTGGGATAGGTATGAGTGCACAAGGCTAGGCTACTCCAGCACATATTATGCCTCATTGGGCAGCATATGGTTGTGCGCACCAGGTACGAAAAATAGATATGGATTATTTCATGACCATTTTACTTCTAATGCGGAGGAGTGGTCCTTTGTTTAATAGGGGGAAAGAAGCAGTTCCTATGTTTCCGTATTTGTTGTTTGTTCAATTCCTTTGTTAGTGTTCTTTCGTTTATGCCGTCGTCGTAAAATGTTTCTGGATAATTTTTTTTCTTCGTCTATTTCGTGCGTTGCAGTTTAATATCCTTGCAACAAAAAAGCATCTTGCAAGATGAGTCAGTAACGAGCAGCTGAGCACCAATATGGCGGAGAAGACGCAGTGCTGTGGCCGTAAATGGTGCGTCAGCGATCCATGTGGAATCGTATGCGCCGTTATAACATGGTAAGCTCTAAGCTCTTCCTGTTTCGATATTATCGTCCTTACATCTTTCGTAGAGTGAAAATAAATGGCAATCCTTCTAGATTCCACCACCATGCATTTTTGAGGGGTTTTGGATGGAAAAGTTCTGAATCTTAACTGGGCATGTATAAGGGAGATGGCGTTCAGTAATAGTATCGGCGAATAGCATCTACATTTTGGGCAATAAGATTTGAAGTGGTCCATTGCTTTGACCAACTTAAGTTTTGTGGAGTTTCTATGCCTTAAGGTTTTTTGTGTCTGGTGGATAGCCTCTTATCTGCCTCACATGGGGTGAGGGATAAGGGGAAGGGAGTTTTGTAATCTCACATTGTGCTAGTTGTCGATCGGCTCTCTCATCCTCCAGCGATACCAACATGCCACTAAACGGGGGTGTGGGGTGGGAGGCTGGTGTAAATTCAGAAAACTCAAATTCAACGTCTCCACATCTGATTTTATGTGGGATATTTCGTCCGTATTTTACATTTTAATGACCTACGAGGTAGTTTTGATCAGTATTGCAGTTTTTCGCTTTCCTTTTCACGATTTCTATTGCTGCTTTTATATTATAAGATAATTTGGCTTTTTTCGCAGGCTGCTGATCGTGTATAGTCAATCTGTGGTATTTCTTGTATTAATTCATTCCTATGATGAACACTGGCTTCATACTGGCGTCAATTTTGTATTGTTCGAATTTTTGACAGCGTTGGCACTTATTAGCCATGTGAAAGTAAGTCGCTTTGAATAGCAGTTCTTTCAATTGTGGTGGCTAATGTAACGACTTTAGACAATGTTAACTGACCCTGGCTCGGTGCCGAAAGGTAACGCTACTGAGGAACATATAGAACGGCTTCAAGCTGCAGAGGAATTCAAGGTGAGAAGCACCTCGTCTTGTTTTCTCGATTTTTTTCTCATTTTTTGTTTCCGTTGGTACCTGTGAAGCATACCCTCGACTTGCATTGCGGTCAATTTTGTCCAGCGCGAATTTGGCCTTTCGAGCCGTAATGCATTGTTTTCAAAGAGTTGCATGACATCATGTTAATGGGTGTTTCCAAGGACACTGGGCTGGAGCTGATAAGCTTGTGAAAAACCCGACCATCTATTTAGGAATTTCATGTGCAGCTAACAATTCAATGCATTATTTCAGGTGATCTATAAGTGTCAGAAGTGCTGCAGTATCAAACCGGATCGTGCGCACCACTGCTCGGTTTGCGATCGTTGTATTCGGCGCATGGATCATCATTGCCCTTGGGTGAACAACTGTGTGGGCGAGGCGAATCAAAAGTATTTCGTTCTGTTTACGGTCAGCTCAGTTTCCTGATTACGTGACTACTTGAACTCTCCCCTGTGTTCTCTGCCGAAAGGCCAGAGCGCAGACGATTAGAGAACGGCGCCTGGCTCGGCTCCAAATCCCAAGAAGGAAGGTGAGAGCCCTAGGACTAAGCCTTGGAGGGAGAAGGGACTCCGGAGTGGGTGAGCCAATTACATTGTGGCAAAGTTTGATGTGTCAGATCACAATAATCATAAGCCGCTGTTTAAGCGAGAGAGCGCAGGCGAGAGCATCGAGTCGACGCGGTTTGAAAGGACCGAGTTCAAGTTGTCCGCAGACCCAGTTTCCTTGGACTTACTGCCACATTCGTTATATGTTTACCGAGATTTTGGTCATGTGTTGTGGTTCTTATGGAGTGGGCTAAAGGCGTGTTGGTGAAGCTCTTAGGAATGGTAAACATAGAGTGCAAATTTTGGGCTCAATGTACATCTTC